ACACTTAGGGAACCGATTCCACATGAGGGGTACCGATTCCCCCCACGCTCCAAGCAGAAATATTAATTGTTTTCACACTTAAACGGCTCCAATAACTTCATTAATGATCCCCAACGTTCAGAAGTGATTCAAGGTGTATTTAAGCAAGCTTAGAAGCCATTGATCAAAACAAGAAACATCAAGCAACTAGAATCAATAGAGAATCAAAGAGAAAGCATCAAACCTCAAGTTTGAGCATTTCAAGCCTATTTTTCATTCAATATTCATTTTGCTTTCAAGAACACTTATTGTGCTCAATCGTATTTATTCTTGAGTGTTCTTTATTTATTCTAGAATTGTGCAAACATATTTACCTTGTGAGGTTTTTCTTGTAAGTTTGCAAATTTGTAATCTTCTCTTTGAGAAAAGAGTGTTCTCAAGAATTGGGGTATATTCTTGAGGGAGTTGTAAGGTTATCTCTTTGGCCTCAAAAGAAAGAACAAATTAGTGAATTTGTTGGAAAATCCTTAGTGTGGATAGCTAAGGTAGTGGACGTAGACTTTCGTTGATAAAGTCGAACCACTCTAAATCGTTGTGCAATTACTTTCAATTTTTTGCAAAAGCTTCCACAAATGTTTTAATTGCCAATTCACCCCCTCTTGGTCGATTCCGTCAATCGATTAACTCAACACCCCTGCCATCGAAGTCGTCGAGTAGCTTCAATTTTGTAATTTTTCAGATTTTTTTGTCGGATTTAAATCGTCGATTAGGGGTTCTTCGGGTGGTTGTTTCATCAGGTGGCTATGTCATCAGTGGTAGTTCGATCAGGTGGAGGTTCATCGATGACAATGGTGGCGAACGGGGCTGGCTGGCGTTGGTATAGGGATTGGAATAAAAGTTTTCAAAGTTTTGGGTTTTTTAAGATTTTCAAAAGTTTTGGGCTTTTTTTAAATAAAATTATATTTTTAATTTTTTTATTTTAAATAAAAATTTAAAATTACCAGAATGTGACATGTGTCACTTAACGGAGTTTTTTTAACGGAGGTTATGGTCGGGGCACCTAAAGTGGTAACGTTTGTAACGTTAGGTATCTGGATTTACCGGAAAAAAAAGTTTAGGCACCTATTTAGAAAAAAATATATAGTTTGGACACTTATTTTTATAATAAACCTTAATATAATTTTTAATTTTTTAATATAATTTCATATATACGATTACTGAAAATAAATATGAAAAAATTAATTTTAATTAAAAATATAAAAACATTAAACTCATTTTTATTTTAAATTTTGAATTGACTACAATATTTTTATTAATTTAGGGGGAGTAAAATGTAGTATATATTCAAAAACTCTCAATCATTTAACATTAAACGCTCATTATCTCTGACATACATAATGTTTAAACTCGATATCTCAATGAATAATAACAATTTCTTAATCACTGAGATCTTTTGATTAACACCAAACTAACTACAATTTAAACTAAATTAAATATATTAAAATATAATCATATATTAGATTTATTTTAGTGGTTTTATGCTCTCAAGCCTCCAATTAATCTAGATTCGAATCTTTGATAATTTTTATTTCTTATTTTTTCTGTAACTAACTACAATATAAAATATATAAAATGTTGTAATAGATTACTAAAGAGTGAATATTTGATGAAGTCGAGTCTAGTCAAAATAAGTTGAGTTAGTCGAGTTGGCAAGTCCTATTTTGTAACTCAAACTTTATTGGATTTTTTTAGTTGAGTCAAGTTTATGAAATTTAAATTGAGTCGATTTGTTCAAGTTTTTATTTAAATTTAATTACAAATATTTATGATGTTGTGAAACTAATTGATTATAATTTAAACGGTTTTCCGTAATCATATAGATATACATATATTTCTTCATATTTTTTCATATGCGATCTATATCATGCAAACTAGAATGACACAACTCAAACTTGAAAACTAATTGCACTAATTACTAAAAATTTCAAGTTATTCATCTTGTTCAAGTCATATATTATAACTCAATTTTTATTTATATTTTGAGTCGAGTTTATAAAATTACGATTCAATTCAAATCAAATTTTTTAACGTCGAGACGAGTCGAGATGAAAATTTTAATTTTTTTCGAGTCGAGATTTACTCACTCCTGTTAAATATGAAAATTGGCATAATAGTTAAGTCACGCCTAAGTAATAACCTCTTTTTTTATTATTAATATGGGGTGAATACGAGATAATATATGTTCAAAGACTCTCAATCATTTGCATACATGGTGTTCGAACTCAAAACCTCAAAGAATTATAATTCCCTACCTTATTTTTAATTGAGTCCTTATTTGATTATTTTGCTTCCTTATTTTTCTCTCATTAACAAGAATAGGTTATAATATAGTATGTGGTAACTCTATACCAATATGGGGTTTAATGGCTGTGGCGCGCCTAATTCCTTTAAGTCCCATGTTTGAATTTCTTTGGCTCCAATATACTTTAATTTATTTTCTCAAATTAAAATTAGAATTAGTGTCTGTTAAAAAAATAGTATTAATTATGAGGATCAAATGTGTACATAGATTATTTTTAATTGCCATATCAGTTTTTTAATGTGATTTAATTGATAATATTTAAATAGTTAAAAATATGATTATAAAATTAAAAGATAAGTGGTATCTAATGACATAATATCAAAATTAGTCTAAACATTTATTAAAATGGTCATTTTGGCTCTTGATCTTTTTTGAGCATTTTGACCCTAACGTTTCATTTTAGGGTAATAAACCCCCTAATTTTGATAGAACAGTCATTTTGGCTCTTATTCTTTTTTATAGTATTTTGGCTTTCAACGTTTCTTTTTAGGGTAAAAAGCCCTTATTTAAGAGCGTTAATTGTGTGCTAACTTTAATAAAAAAAAATCATGTGCTAACTAACTATTTCCATCTGTCGAGGAAGTTTTTTGCACCAAAATAAAACATTGAAGTAAAAAATGTCCAAAAAGAGTATAAGGGTCAAAATGATCAATTTGATAAATATTAGGGGTTAATTTTGACGTTATACCAAATATAATCTATCCACAAAATTAAGTATTCATGTTATAGTTTAGGGTAAACTATACATTTAGCACTTAAACAATCAGTTTTAGTACACCACCATTAAAAATTTAACGGACGGTCTCGTTGGCTGCCACATATATGAAGCCCAATTTAGGATGATAAAGCCCAAACTTTCCGACTTTAACCTTTTTCGACTTTTGAACGTAATTTTGACCTCTATTTCATCGTAAAACACCTCAATCTCCCTAAATCGATTATGGACTGTTTGATTTCTTCATACTTCAATCTCCATGGTCCATCGTCCGATGGGCTTGAAATTGGAATATGTTGGGACTCATCATTTTCTCATGGATCACCGTTCAGATTGGTCGTCTGTCCACCAGAACTATGCCACGTCAGCCTGCCCGTTAAATTTTTAATGGTAGGGTACTAAAATGAAATAAAAACTAAATGTTATGTATGATTTAAAAAAATTATATATTAGAACGGACTAAAATGAATAGTTTAGACACTAAATACATAGTTTACTCTATAATTTATAAAAAAATAAAAATAAAAGTAAGAATTAAGAAAGCCTGCCTTTTATGCAGATCAAACGGTTGAATCCTGAACTTTGTTAAAGCGCGGGAGCCACCGTATAATTAAACACGTGTCAAAATTGTACTCGCAGGACACTAAATTTTTATTTCTTTGCGCACCCAAACATTGCCCCCCTCATCCCTCCTTCCCTCTCCCTCCAAACCTGTCCCTCGGATCCGAACCTCAATTTTGCTCCTATGTTCGTTGAAAATTTCGCACACTATTTCGATCACTTTATCGCTCTTTCTCCATCTTTCTCATCGAGCTAAAAAAAAAACGCCCAATTTCCAAACCCTAATAAATTTTCTCACAATTTTGACACTCTTCAAGGGATTGATTTTTTCGAGCTCCATTTCAATGGCTTTACCACTCCATTGTAAGTTCATTTATCCTCTCTTTCTCTCTAAACCCTAATGTATATTTTGCAACTCTTCGAGTTTTTCTTTCTATGAGGTGCTGAATCGATGGTCCGGATTTGATAGTTTAGGGCTGGTCAGCTGTGTTGTTCATGTTTCGTTTTAGTGTATAGGATTGCTTGCTGCCGTTTCGATCTTCTTCTGTGGGTTAGGTTAGAAATGTGCGATTTTTACGGAAATTTTGAGTTTAGTATCTGTTTGTTTGCCGAGAAAATGGAGGGATGAAGAGGATCTTCATCGTGGGGAATTGGAAATTTTAAATTGATCTGAGGTTGTAGTGGTTCTTTTCTTTCTGCTGTACTAAAGGTTAATGTTTTCGTTTTTTTAATAAAAAAAAATCAAGTTTCAAGAATTTGTCATTACTAGTGAATTTATGACCGTACTTCACCTGTAGTATCCTATTTTGTTACTTCTCTCTCTCTCTCTCTCTCTCTCTCTCTCTCTTTTTGGAGTTCTTTGACATTGATATGATAGCCTTCGATGTAATGATGTTTGGTTTTTTGTTAATAGGGAGGTATCCTTTTCCTCTGACTGATGAGCTCTTGGTTTTATTACTGGCGTTCTGTTGTCCGTATCTGTATGTACCTGATTTGTCAGACTGATAACTTCTCATACGTGCATCTGAATTTATTGATTTAATGAAACCACCTTTCATTAATTTTTATCAATATGAAGCTTGTGTTTCATGTTGATTATTGAGCGTGGCACATAAATTGACAATATAACAAAGACGAACTTTGCCATTAGATTGCTATACCAATTGAAGAAAAGAAAGGTGGAACAATTGCATTAGCAGATAGTTGCCTTAACTTGTTTCAACTTTTGTTCCCATGAAGAGATGATAAGTTGGATTTTGTCCGTGTAGGAGATGCCTCAACCAGGGTGAATGTTTAAATGTACAGAAGAGGTTTGTTTCCAATTATTATTGGATTTAAAGAAGGATTCTTATGGTTGTGTGGCATATATTCTTATTTTGTTAGGAAGTGATTTCTCTCTCAAACCTTTAGCTGCTGAGTATTTTAGGCTTGAATTATCTCTATGCCTGGCAACGAAGTTGGGGACAGGATCCATAATTTCCTTGGTCAAGAGGGCTTGTCCCAAGGCCAGCATAATTCACCGTACCTAGACACTGCCTGGCCTGGCTTAAGTAACAATCTATGGGTTGGAGGCCAGAGACAAGTCAGTGGACCTCTTGTTTCCAGTTTGAAGAATTTTAGTGCACATCAATTAGGTAATATGATAACATATTGATTGTTGAGTTTCTGCTCTCTTCTGTTACTGCAATTTAGATTTTAGAGCTTGGTTGTAGCATCCTAACCACTGTTCAATTGACTTCATTACACACTTTTGGCATTAGCTGAGTCTGACAGAGGACATCGTGGTCAGTCTTCAAACCAGCAGCATGACATGAACTTCACTCAATCAGGTTTGAGGCCTGAGATAGCTAGAAGTCAGTTACAAAACCAATCACTAAATGCAAATGGCTATTTTCTAGGGCATCAGGCTCTTCAGGCAAGGCAGAATGAAACAAACTTTTCAGGAGTGGATGCAGCATCTAGATGCTTGTCACCTCTTGATTCACAGATGGGAAATGGTCCTGATCTTCATAAGAAAAATTCCCCGAGGTTGGAAACTAATGAATCTCCTGTAAATTACGATTTTTTTGGAGGGCAACAACAAATTACTGCACAGCATTCTGGCATGATCCAGCCTTCGTCTAGGCAGCAATCAGGGATGAATGACATGCAGCTATTACAGCAACAGCAACATACTATGCTTAAACAAATGCATGAATTACAGAGGCAACAACTCCTGAAGCCACAGTTTCGGTTACCGGATACAAGGCAGTTGAGCACTGCAAATCAGGTTTCCTCTACCGTAAAACAAGGATTTTGTAGCTTTTCTCCAACTCCAATCAATGGCCTTCCTCTCCATGATGCTTCAAATTATTCCTGGAAGCCTGAACACATGACACCAAATGCAAATTGGCTGCAGCACGGTGCAACTCCAGCCATGCATGTATCCTCTGGAGGATTTACGTTTTCCCCGGTGCAAGGGCAGGTGTCTTTGATGGGTTCGGTTCCTCAACAGGTTGATCAATCATTTTATGGGATCTCAACTGGTGGTGCAAGAAGAAATCCATGTCAACATTCTTCTGTCCAGATGGATAAGCCTTCAATGCAGCAGGTGCCAGCCAGCAGTAATTCTTTTCCAAGTAATCAGTATGCCGTATTTACAGATCAAGTTGGCTTGCAAGATGGAACTTTGGTTTCTAGACAGGGCGATCAGGGTGAAAATGTGTTTGTGACTGCAGCAGGACAAGGCTTAAATATTGGATTTCATTCAGAAAACTTGCAGGAAATGACTATCCAGCCAAAAAACGTGGTGATGCAGGAGTCTTGTGGAAGGCAAGAGCTTCCTGGTCCATCAGAATATCCCTAGATAATTCAACGATTCAGGCTGCCCCCTCACATAGTGTGGCTACACTAGATGAAACGGAAGAAAAGATTTTGTTTGGTTCAGATGATAGTGTGTGGGATATCTTTGGAAGGAGCATCAACACGGGCTCATCGTTGGATGGCACGGACTCATTTGGGAGACTGCCTTCTTTGCAAAGTGGCAGTTGGAGTGCACTTATGCAGTCTGCTGTAGCAGAAACATCAAGTAATGATTTAGGGGTACAGGAAGAGTGGGGTGGTTTAGGTGTGCAGAATAGTGGATCTCCAAGTGGGAATATGCCATCACAAATTGTCAATGATGGCAGCAAAAATCAATTGGCTTGGGTTGATAACAAATTGCAGACTGCCTCGACATTGGACTCTAAGCCTTTTCCAATATCTAGTGATGCCAATATCAATCTTGACTTTTTTAACGTCCCTGAGGTTCAGCAATCAGGAGTCCCAATTGCAAACGAGCAGACTGAGAAAATGCATAATTACTCATCTCAGAAATTTGTTCAACAGTTAACAGAAGAAAGAAGCAAACAGTTAGGTTGCAATCCCCTACAAAAGACTCTAGCTGAAAGCGTGCAGTTATTTGGAAATGTTGCTTGCTCTCCTAATGTGCAAGTAAGTGCAAAGAGCAATTCAGGTCACCAACAAGGCATAGCTGTACATAACATGCGTGTTCAGCCACATAATAAGCCAAAGGGTTGGAACTTCATTGACTCTGCATCACATAGCAGTGATGTTATATCAAAAAGTCGGGATATTGGTTGCATTTCAACCTTCTCAGAATAGTGATCATAGAGGTGCCATCTATGAGGTGAAAGGCCATGGTTCTGCTATTGATCATTCCGTTTCTGATGCAAATATTGAACTGGGAAATTTAAATTCCGGCTTGAGAAGCCCTCAGGCGAATAGGGAAGGTTCTGACTTGGATAATGTTGCTGCTGTAACAGATTCAAGAACCAAAAGGGTCACTGAAAGCAGCCAGAAATTTCCAAACAATCATAATCTTAATCTCAGGAAAAGTACTGATTCTAAATTAAACTCTTTCCAAAGCAATGTTCAAGCAAAATATCAGCAAAATCAGGATAAGAATCCTAAAGCTTTTGATTCATCTGGAAATGATTGCTTGGATAAGGGAGCATATGACCATGAAGCAAATATGTTGGACAATCACAATGTCAAAGAAACTTGCAATGGCGGTTTTCACCCAAACTCATCCCACCATTCTTCTACTGGTGGCATGAGAGACAATGTCTGGATGGATGTAAATGATTCACATGGAGGAAAACAGAAGTCATCTGTTCGTATCAGTCATAAGCCTTCTGGAATCCGTAAATTTCAGTATCATCCTATGGGAGATCTAGATATGGAGGCTGAACCTTCATATGGAACTAAAAGTGTTGCACATTCACAGGCAACATCCCAACATGTTTCACAAGGATTGAAAGGTCATGGCCAAGGGTACTTTGGGCAGTCAAAATTTACTGGTTATAGTGCTAGAGAGCCTCTAGAAACTGAGAAGGTAACTTTTGGCGTGAAATTGTCAACTATTTTTCTTACCCTTGTACAACTGCTGAAATTTACTTTAGTTTTTAGAATAATATAAGACTAAATAATTTTTTATTAATTTTCTCCTACTTAGGGGTGTTTTCCTAGCTTTCAAGCAAATGAGATGCCTTCAAAAAGCTCGAACCAGGGTTCTTCTGACAGATATTTTGTTGGTTCTGTGCCAAACAAAACTCCAATGAGGTAGTTGAATATTTGTACTTCTTATTCTTTTAGCTTGAGTTGAACTTCATGCTTTTCTCAAATTTTTATTGTTTTGATAATTTAGCTACAAATAATATTATCTCTGGTTGTTAAATCTATGATGGTAAAACTTATTCATCACCATATATTAGCAATCTGATTTTTTTTTGGTAATGCTGGCACTTTGGCTTTATTTTTCTCGTGCTGGTTTTCTTATTTACTTTCTATTTTGCTCTCGATATTCCAAAATGTCACAGTCAAAACATGCTGGTGCTTCTTCCTAAGTTTGATCAGCCAAGAGAACATGGCACTGCAACACACTTAAGCTCATCTGAACGCAATCTATCATCTGAAATGCCAGATGCAGAAACTTCTGATGGATCTGTAGGCCAGTTTCGGCATAATAGGCCTTCTACTTCCCAAGGTTTTGGTTTACAATTAGGCCTTCCATCTCAAAGGTTTACCATTCCTGATCGTGCAATCTCATCTCTGAGTTCTCCCCAAGCAGTTAATTCTCTAAATTCAGTTCATCTCACTTCTGAGCTAGGAAGGAAGGGTCATGCATGGTTGGATCCAAAAGCTTCTGTTCAGTCCTCAACTCATGGAGCATCCTCTGGAGACTTTAGGAATAACGTTTCAAGTGTTTCTGATTACCATTTAAATCTTCAAAACCAGCATGTTACTAGTGAGGGTATTCAAGCGACTCCAAGTGCATCTATGAAGGCACCTTTTGGTGGGTTGGCATCTCTGCCCAAGCAGACTGATGACTCTTCTGAGAGAGCTCAAACTAGTCAATTGCAAAGGAAACCAGCACCTCACATACCTGAATCCGCTGCAGATAACAATCTTGCTTCCTCAGAGACTTCTCGGCCAAGTAGTAGTGACCAAATCCACACAAGGGATTCAGGCCAGCAATATCCAGTTTTGGAGGCTCTGTCAGCTTCCCAACCATCTGTTACATCTGAATCTCCAAAGCCGGGTGCTTTTACCAAAATGCCTGTTGGGTGGACCAGTGTTTCCACTCCACATCTATATTAGCACAGTCATCTCGGGCCTCCCAAAATTTGTTTAATCATCAATCGAATATTAACTCTGAAACAACTCTTCCTGGAACAAAGAAGCTAGACGATCAAATCGCTGAGGCAGGAGATTATGGTCAATCTGAGTTGCCTGCAGGTTCTGCTGAGCCACAGAGCTTTGTTGGAGAGGAGCAACCATCAAAAGATCAGCAGTTATTGGCAGAGAACGGTGCCAGCTCACATCCTGCAACTATGCCCCGAAAGATTGATGCTTTTGGCCACACTTCGAGCCCAAATAATACTGTACATCAAAATCATTCATTGTTGCATCAGGTGCAGTCTATGAAAGATATAGAGATTGAACCAAGTAATAGGAGCGTCAAAAGATTTAAAGGCCCAAGTCTAGACTCTGCTTTGGATACTCATCAGGTAAGTTCTGAAGGTGCAGAGCAGTTATTGTATGAATACGATAATATGATGAAAGATGCTCAGGTTAATCATCTGTCAGATCCTTCTAATGATATCATGGCATTCGCTCAGAATGATTCCCAGCATTTCTCTAGTGCTGATAATTCTTCTGCTAATCTCAAGGGCAAACTCTCTCAAATAAGTCCCCAGATGGCTCCATCCTGGTTTGATCGGTATGGCACATTCGAGAATGAGCAAATGCCCCCTCTATATGATGCTCAAAAAATTGCCATGGTGAAGGTTGCAGAAAAGATACACAGTGTTGGTAGGCCTTTTGATGGTTCACTTGCTCTTCATTCAAGTGAGCGGGTTATTGCTGGTGCTGCTGATGTTAGTCACCTGGATAGGGCCTGTAAAAACTCAAAGCCCATATTGAGTGAACATATCTCCTCTCAATCATTGCTTCCTGATATCAGAAATCAGGATTTGGTTGTTGTGAAAGCAAGAAAGCGTAAAAGTACGGCGTTTGAGCTTCTACCATGGCATAGGGAAGTGACACAAGTTTCTAAAAAATCTCAGAACATCAGGTAATTGGAATAAATAATCCATCTGCTGCAATTACTTTTAGCAGTATAGATGTCAATGACCAAAAGCACTAAAGTATTTCCCAGTATTGTTATCATGCAAAAATCAGTTGCTCTTCTCTCACTATGTTTATGTTTTTCTTAATTTTGTAATTATATTTAAGTTTTCTGTTGATCACAGTTTGGCAGAGGTGGAATGGGCGCATGCAGCAAATCGATTGATTGAGAAGGTTTGTTGGGTGTTTTAACCATTTTACTTTGCTGTAATCTTATTCTTTATTAGAATTGTGACAGTTTTTATCTTAAGGACATTGATCTAATCACAGGTTGAAGATGAACCTGAAATGATTGAAGATGGGATTCCAGTGGTTAGATCAAGAAGAAGGCTCATCTTGACAAGGCAACTTATGCAACAAGTACTTCGTGCTCCTCCAAGAGTATTTCTTTCTGCAGATGCTGACAAAAACTATGAGACTGTGGCCTATTTTGTTGCCAGATCAGTCTTAGGAGATGCATGCAGCACAGCATGTGTACCAGAAAGTGACACTGCTGTTCGTCCTGACAGTGAAAGCGCGTAAGAACATGTTAATATTGTTTGAAATCATTGAATACTTTTTTTTACTGATCTCATCTGCTGATCATTGTTGCTATTAACTGATACTATCTGACGGAAATTTTTTCCTTTCGATTTGCTTTAAGCTTCTCGGAAAAGCTCAAGGAGAAAAACCAGTCCACCTTAAATGCGACAGAAGATTTTATCAGGAGAGCAAAAAAGCTTGAAAATGATTTACAGAGGTAACTCGCATCTAGTTCTGGCCAATTCCTTTTATGCATGTTATTTCTTTTGTTGCTCTTATGTAACATTGTTATTGATGGGTGAACACCTTATTTATGAATTATGATGTTCAATGTTTGCGGTAAGAATTTCCCCTCGCAGATCACCCATTAAATTTGATTATTTTGTTGTCGTCATGGGTGTGCCGAGGTGTCATATGTCAATTTATCAGTAAGGTGCGCTCTTAAACAAGCAAGATTATGCAGAAGGGATTCCTTGTCAGTTCTGTTGGTTTCCCTTTACCGATCTTAGTATTGCCCAACATAGGCTTGATAATCCTTTGGATCTTTGGGGTGCATTATTATTAGGCTCAATAATCCTTTACCAATCTTAGTATTGCCCAACATTGCCAGTTGCAAATATGCTGCTGTATATTTCTCCCGGTTATTTTGCTTAGTACTTTGACCCGCAGTGATAGCTTCTAGCTAGTTCAACGGATAAGATGGCTAATTGGCATATAATTGTACCTTAATTTATTTAGAATAATCGGATATGATTTTAACCTCAATATTATTTTTTGCTATGATTTGCATCATGTTCGAACCAATAGTTTACTAGGCACATTTGATGACCGTGCCAATTATCTTATCTCCCAATGTTTCCGCTTTGTTATTCAGTCTGGATAAGAGAGCCTCAATCTTGGACCTAAGATTGGAATGCCAGGATCTAGAGAAGATTTCCGTCATCAATCATTTCGCCAAGTTCCATGGTCGTGGGCAAGCTGACGGGGCTGAAGTCTCACCGTCCTCCGACATGATTGCTAATTCTCGCAAATTCTTCTCCCAGAGATACGTACTTGCTCTACCAATGCCCCGGAATCTCCCTGACAGAGTACAATGTCTTTCCCTTTGAACATTACTTGAATGATTTTTTACTTCCAAATTTAAAATCAATGGTGGCTCTAAGATCTTTCCATCGGAGGCCATTCGAGTCAGTTTCCGGATGAATATATATATATATATATATATATATATATATATATAGAAGTTTTAATTTTGAATACTTGTCTGGAAATGTTGAGAGAAAGTTTAGGGTAAAGCCCCATGATTTTTGGGTAAATGGGGAACACTAAAGCTCAGTCTTGAGGTAAAAAAAAAAAGTAGTGTATTTATTAAACCTTTTGGATGCTTTTCATTCATAAGTAAAGGGTTTATGCATTTCTCATCTTCTCTTCTGTTCTCTCTTAGGCTGAAAGAAAGTATTAACGGAGTAGGAAGGGACGGGATCTAACCTCGTCTCATTCTGTGTGGTTGTTGAATTATTATTATTGTTTGATGAAAGATGCTCTATTAATTGTGTGAATGAAGTAAATCGTGTTCGAATAACGGATAGTCGAAGCTTTAGATCTGTATTGCTTTCCAATTTGTTGCTGCCAACAGTAATTAGGTTTGAATGTTATATTGTAGTCACTAATATTACAGTTTAGGTGTGATTTAGCCACTGTATGTTAAACTGGTAATGAGTGAGCCGACTGTCGGTTTTTATATTGGTATAATCTTGTATTTAGCCTCCAATACTTGTTACTTTTGGCCATAATTTTAAGTAAATCAACAAATTTGAATCACATATTTATAAATTCTATCAATTCAACCCTTTACATTTATAAGTTTAACCCTTCATGTTTAAAAAGTCTATAAATAGGATTTATGTGCATTTGAGGATTTTATTTTCTTTTTGAATTTTAATCCAACAAGCATTGAAAATCTTAGTAATTTGTTACCTGAAAAAACACAAATGTCCCAAATAATATAACAATGTAAAAAAAAAGCAAAATAAAATTATCCACGACACCATAAGGGAAAAGTCCACTAGAAAACTATAACTGTTAAGATTTAGTCTTTTATATTTAATTATCTATTTTTTATAATCATTCACTTTATCTGTAGCACTTACGAAATTTTCTTTAAAATGCCATATTCCAACACAAAATACATGTAAACATTTTAATTAGAACAAGTAATGATGTTAACTATTTGGACGGACTGTTGTCACTATAAACATAGAAGAATTAGATTATGTAAAATTAAAGTATATGATTAAATATAAAGTTTGAGCATAATAGAGGGACCAAACCCAAAATTTGACCTTTTTTCCATCATAATAAGAGAGAGGTCAAGTCTTTCTCTTATTACTTCGCCCATTGAGATTCGTACCATATCAAAGTTGTAATAGGATCCCACCATTAACATCGTCATTTAAGCTAATAAAGTAGTATGTGTAATTTATGAATTAGTCCTTATACTTTAATTCAGTCAATTATAGTTCTTATATTTTTTCTGAAATTCAAAATTTAATAATGACCTAAACAATATTAAAAAATATGACTAAATTACAGAAACTAACTACGACAAATTTGAAGAACAATAATTAAAGATGCACGTTAGGTATAATACATGGACAAATAGTATAGTTTGACTGAATAGATCTAACGGCTACGGTTTAAGTTAGGATTGAGATTCTTGAATTCTAAAAGTACGTGCCGGTCGAAAATTATCAAATCAGAATAAGCTGCCAAACTCCTCCTGCGTTTTCAAATTCATTTTCTATATAAACCCACTTAGATCCGCCATTAAAGTACTTAGCTGAACCATTTGTTTTGGCGTATTCAACTATGGAATTGCTGCGAAACCATGAAGAAGATAGCCTTAGGGTTTCAACGATGGAATTATTGATAAACCATGAAAAAGATAACCTTAGGGTTTCAACTATGGAATTGAAGCGAAACCTCGATGAAGATAAACTTAGGGTTTCAACGATGGAATTACTGCGAAACCATGAAGAAGATAAGTTTGGGGTTTCGATGACGGAATGGCTGCCAAGCTATGAAGATAAGCTTAGGGTTCCAAGCTACAAAGACGTTAAGTCTAGGGTTCCTGAGGCATGGGAAATGGTGGGGAACTTTGGAGAAGATGACCCTTTTAGGGTTTTGGAAACGAAACAGGTGAAAAAAAAAGCATCGACATAGATGAGGAAACTCCGGTCGGGTTTAAATTTGAGCCGAAGGACGAAGAATTGGCGGTGCAATACTTGATCAGCAAGGCATCCGGCGATCCGTTGCCGGCGTCGGATTTCCGAGAAGTCGAAGCTATAGAATTTTACTGCCAACATCCCAAGTATTTAGGTTGGTACTATAAATTCTAATCTTTACTTCGAAACTGAAAACCAGATCGATCGAATCAACTGTTTCTCCTTAATATCTCGATTAACCAAGATTCGAGTATCATCGAAATCTGAAATTAAGAACGCCAAACATGTATTCTTCACTTTGCTAATCCATCTCTAGCTTTTGCAGCTTATTTCGATATTAAGAACACCAAACATGTATTCTTCACTTTGCTAATCCATCTCTAGCTTTTGTTTGGCGAAGGAGGATAAAAAAGGTAACACTGAAAAGGAAAGACTACTCATCATATAACACCATGTGTGTATGATTTTATTCCCCCACCTCAAAATAAGCTTCTTATATTATTTAATATATTTTAATATTTTTAAAACCAAAGGAAAAAAAGTGGTGGATTTTGGTAATACAATTTGAGAGTGTTTATTTAAAATTTTCAAAAAACATAGATGTCTAAATTAAAGTTTTAAACTTTTTGAAGGGTTTGATTTAAAAAAAATTAAAAATTTAAAAATAAAAATATTTTTAGAAACTTTTTTTAGAGAATTGAGCTTTAACCTCGCATGATATTTGTGTGTATGTTGTATTGAAGTATGATAGTTTAATTTTTTTTTTAATTTGGCATAATTATACACTACAACAAAACAGAGTTTTAGCGGTGTTTTTTAGACCTCTAGTGGCATTTTTAAGCGCCGTTAAAAGCACTTGCGGCGATAGGAAAAACGACGATAGAAAAAACGCCGCAAGAAGCGTCGGCCATACCAGCCATGCTAAAGTTAGCGGCGTTTGAGAACAAAAAATGTTGCAATAGGTAAAGATATATAATGGCGTTTTTGGAACAAACGCCGCAAAAGGTCGAGATTTATAGCGGCGTTTTTGGAACAAATGCCGTAAAAGGTCGAGATCTATAGCGTCATTTTTGGAAACAAACGCCATAAAATGTCATATCGATAACTTAGATTAATTGATTTTGCATATTTCATTTATGCTCTACATCACACAAATTTAATATCATGTAGTTTTATCCAATTAACAACAACCATACAATTTAATTAAGACACCAGTTATGCATAAAAATACTTAACAACAAAATAAATTAAAATTTATAAACATTACAATTAAATGTAATGTAGTTTGACATTGTTCTCTACAATTTAGTCTAGGTTCTTTCACTTTCAATTAAAAACGCTATTGTTCACTAGAATTTAGTCTTCATTGCTCCTTCGTGGGGAAATGAAGTAAAAAAAACAACTTTCCTTGTTTGATGAAGCATCGTTAAGTTTTTCCTTCATCTAAACTGTATATGGAGAAGCACTTCATCCATTTCACCAAATAAATCCCCTACCTCCGGTTCACCAAGAAGACTCCTTGCGCGCTTCAGTGCTTCACTTGAAATAGATAACAACCTTCCACCTACAGTATGAAACTTAATTGGAGGTGGCTTGGGAACTGAATCAAACATTAAAAAAAATTAAAAAAAAAAGAGAAAAACATTTACTTGGAGTAACAGTAGAGGCAGCGTCGTCTTCATCGAGGATAAATAATGCTTTTACAATTGAAGATTCTTTCAATGCCATAGATTTCCCCAATTCGGATCTAAACATCGGGTATTTATCCACTCCTCTATCACCGTTCTCAATAAGCTTCGAACATCCTCCATGCGCACTGTCTGTGATTTGTGACTACTATATATGGTTGTTGAAATATGTGCAAGTATACACAATCGAACAAGTAATACAGTGATGAGTGAGTATCGTATCCACAAGGATTGGAGGAAATTGATAAGTTCAATCAAAACACTTTACTATGTCACCTAAGTAAAGTTAGTGATGTTATTTACAAATGAGAATGTTGTGGCAAAATGAAATGGATGTTGTGGAAATGGAATGATTGTAGTATGGTAGCAAATGAATATGTTGTGGTAAATTGGATTGTAACACCCCCCAACCCGTACCCGACTTGGATACAAATATGAGGTGTCACATTGACATTTCAAAACATTTACTTGTAAAAAACAGTGAATAATTTTAAACTTTTACTAAATATAACTGAATAATTACATAAAATACAATCATATGATTTATAAAACCGATTAGAGCATATCGGATTCAAATCTTTATTTACATGCCAACCACCATCAATATTACAAAATACCTACTATTTAATTCTTTTCTGATTTGATCTTTTGAAATGAGAAACTGGCTTGTCTTGCTTAACTTTTATTATTCTTCTTCTTCTTGGAACCTACGTGTGAAACAATCACACGCTAAGTCGTTGACTTAGCGATGCATATAAAACATATAGTAGAAACCATGGAACATTTCACATAACAGAATACATACATGCACACATACCATCATTATCAACATCAACATCATTATCTTGATCTCTATCATTATCATTAACCAATTTATCATATGATCTTGTACTTATCATTTATGTATATTATATAACACATATATCATTTCACAAAGAAACACACATAACATCATATAATTCATGTAACACATATCATATCACCAAAAACATATACATAACATATATTGTACTTGTTATTATCTCTTTATTAGCCTATGTACACATGTGATTCAGTGTAAACAATAATAACATGATATCATATAATAATGCAAACACTTTTGATATCTTTTATAGGCCCATGTACATTACTGAGAACTCAAGGTATGCGAGTACATTGAGATTGTGCACATATGCTGTCACCACAGCTCGTATAAATGCACCGAAGTGCCATGTAGAATTGCACTGAAGTGCCGCGTAGAAATGCACCGTAGTGCCATATAAGATGTCCATAAGGACCACATAGAAATTTCTTAAGAATCATATACATATGCCAAAGACCAAATATATGTCTCAAAGGACCTCATAAATGTTCCATAGAATACATATATGTCCCGAAGGACTGCGTAGACCCTCGACTCTTGGCATGCCAACTATACCCCTAGCTCTCATATTACATAACATGGGCATTATCATTTATAACAATTCACATCACTTGTATTATATAAACATGTAATCTCATAACTCGTTCTC